GAAATTCAGGCTAGAAAGATACTCATCTGATGAATTTCAAAAGGCTAACCTATGTTTAATATGTCCTTGAGTACCACCCAGGTCTGTGGATTCTCTAGTGATTCATTTAACAAATCCAAGGCTTACAGCAGCAAGGTATATATAATTCAGTCTCCTCAAAGATAGCGTGTTTGAATGCCTTATGGTTCAAGTGCCAAGTGCATCATTCTTGAAGTGACTGAATCAAAGAAAAGATTCTGATCTGGTAGACTTTCTCTGGTTCAATTTAGAATCAAGCTCTCTAGAGAACTGGTTCTCAGGGTATCAAAGCAGGTATCCTGAGCCATCAGGCCCCGCTAGGGCCAGCACAAGCTTGGCCTCTGAGCAGAGTTCACTAGTAGCCAGCCTCTTTGAGCACTGAAGTCCTATGTGCTGACTGAATCTGTATCCAAAAATCAGATGGACCCTCAGAGCTGTGCTGGGTAGCAGCTAAGCAGGTATGTCTTAGCCGAATGCTGGGGAAAGAGAGAATCAAAGCACAATTGTGAAATGGCCAGCCAATTAAAAGCCAAATGGCTGCACAAGCTACTGTAAGAGGCACAGGACCCATGACTGTTCATGAGCTGTCAGATTCCTGAGCAACAGCGGAAACTGTCAGATCCACCTCTGACCACAGGGAGTAGGACCAAAGATCTAGTTAGAAACCAGCTGGAGCATTGGTATAAGCTAGTCATCACTGGGCTGGGCTCCCCAAAATGGTACCTTGCATTCCCAAACTCATTTATTTGCAAACAGAGCTGCACTGAAGGGAGGAGAAGGGAGGAGAAGGGAGGAGAAGGGAGGAGAAGGGAGGGGAAGGGAGGAGAAGGGAGGGGAAGGGAGGGGAAAGGAGGGGCAGGGGACACTGCCCTACTGTCACAGATTTCATATGAAGAAAGCGCAGCTGCTCAAAGTTGTTCCCCAAATTGACAATGTTCTTGAGAATCTGAAGCAGGGCTGAGGATGACCCCACCTCAGAGGGAAAACTCACTGGCAGGGAAAACATTCAGCAATGTGTGCCTCAGAAGACGTCCACGTCCTAATCCCAGAACCTGTGGGTCTCTTAACTTGCACGGCCAAAGGGGCTTAGCACGTGTGATTAGAGTAAGGATCTTGAGTTGGGAGTTTATCATGGGTTATCTGGGAGTACCCACTGTGATCACAGGGTCCTTTTAAGAGGAAGCAGGCTAGAGTCAAGGATGGAGATGTGACTACACTGACAACAGCAGAAGTCACAGTCATGTGGCTGCAGCTCTGAAGACTCGGGGGGCCACAGTGGAGGAATGTGGGTGGCCTGCAGAAGCTGAAAAAGGCAAGAACAGATCCTTCCCTGGAGCCTCCAGAAAGCATGCAGCCCTGCTGACACCTTGACTTTAGCCCTGCAGGACCAATTTTGGACTTCTGACCTCCAGAGCTGAGAGAATAAATCTGCATTATTTTGGAGCACTAAATGTGTGGTGATGTGTTACAGCAGCCACAGGAAGCGGATGCACAATGCAAGGCATTTCACCATGTGAATGACCCAGTTCAGCCTTAGACTAATTTCCCTTGGCAAAACGCAGGCGGGCCGAGTTCCCGGAAGGAAGTGCCATGGAAGGGCTGCTTCAGTGTAATGTGTTCTGCAAGTGAAAATATCTTGTAATGATAACAGGATGGTTAGGCAGAAGTTTGTTTTATGACATTTTAAGACATTCTGGATGGGTCCCAAGATTTGTATGAGCCCACAAGTCATTAGATTGAATCGGTATATAATTTCTCCCACTCTTTTCATATGAATTATTGTATTCCTTGTTATGAACAAGCATAGAATTTCTAAGTCTTCCATTTTTATGGGCTTAACTCCACTTTTTTTCAACAAAAAAATGGAGTGAAAGATTAATTCTGGGCCTGAGATAAACTGCTTTATAACTGTTCAAATTAAGATCTAGCAGGTCCTGACATTAATCAGATTTCTAATCTGGTTCAAACATTAAAATCTATGATTATGTAAACATAAGTGCCAGTAACAGCTTTCCCTGTGGAACTTCCAAGTGTTGGGAGTGGGTTATAGAAACTCTTGCTCTGGTTTTCTAAGTTTAAGATGGAAGAAAATCCAGAGAAAATGCAAATTAAAACCACAATGAGCTATTACTTCACACCTGTTTGATTGACTATGATCAATAAATCAATGAACAAGTGTAGGTGAGGATACAGAAAAAGGGAATGCTTGTGCACTGTTGGTAGGACTGTAAATTGGTACAGCTACCATAGAAAACAAGATAGAGAGTGCTCAAAAAATTAAAAATAGAACTAGCATATGACTCAGAAATCCCACCTTCCATGTATTTATCGGAAGAAACCCAAAACACTAATACAAAAAGATACATGCACTCCAGTGTTCACTGCAACGTTACGTACAATGATGAAGATGTGGAAGCAACCTAGGTGTCCCCTGCTAAACAAATGGATAAAGAAAATGTGGTACAATGATATATTGTATACAATGATATATTATTTGTATGTAACATAGAATGAAATCTTGCCATCTGTGAAAACATGGGTGGACCAAGAGGTATTATACTAAGTGAAATAAGTCAGACAGAGAAAGACATATGATTTTACTTATATGTGGAATCTAAAAAAACAAAGTAAATGAACACACAAAACAGAATCAAACTCATAGATACAGAGAACAAACTGATGGTTGCCATAAGAAGGGGGTGGAAGATGGATGAAAAGAGGGAAGGAATTAAAAAGTACAAATTGGCAGTTATAAAATAGTCAGGGGGATGTAAAGTACAGCCTAAGGAATATAGTCAATAATATTGTAATAACTGTATGGTGCCAGATGGGTACTGGAGTTATCAGGGTGATCACTTTGTAAGTTGTAAGTTAAATGTCTAACTCCTATGCTGTACACCTGAAAGTAATATAATATTGAGTGTCAACTGTAAGTGAAAAAATTTTTTAATTACAAAAACAGATGGAAGGAAATTCTAGTAAGCCACCTCTTCAAGAGAGAAACTAGGAAATCCGTTGCATGTGGGATCCGTCCCAGGGCTTTGTCAATTCAACATGGCACTGTGGTTCTCATACATCCTCATGCATTAGCACCACCCAGAGGACTTGTTCAACCCAGATTTCTGGGTCCCAGCCTCGAATTTCAGTAGGTTTGGGGTGGGGGGAGCCAGATAATCTATATTTCTAATATGCTCCCAGGTGATGCTGTTTCTACCAGTCAGGGGCCACACTTTAAGAACTATAGTAGAGGGATCCTTCTTACACACAGACCAATTTCTCCCATATCCTGAGAAGGGTCATGACCTTACTCCATCTGGCTGAACTGTCTCTAATAAGCTAGTTAATACATTGCAATTGTTGAAATATCTCCATCGCCTACTTGACTCCAAGGCACAGGGGATCACTAGTTTAGCCGCATGTTGGAACTATCTAGAGAACTTTTTAACCCCTCAGGACCCAGGCTTCCCCCCAGACAAATTAAATTAGAATGGATCAGAATGGAGCTGGCAGATGAGCAAGTCTCAGTAGTTTTTAAAACTCCCCAAGTGATCCAAAGTGCAGCCAAGACAGAGAACTGCTACTCTGTGCAAACATGAGAAATGACAAAATGATGCCAACTGGATGAAACAGACATTCAGCAGAGTCCTACGCTAAGCCCTGTCTTCTGAAGTGCTGCACTCTTGCATCCTGCACTGTGACATATAATAGGTGCTCAGTAAACATGTGCTGCATGAATGAAAGCTAATCAACCAGAAAGCTTGTGGAGAATTAGTGCCTCCCTTCTCCAGGGCACCTGGATGAATACACAGAAACAAACTATGTCATTATGAATTATTAAGTCTCGTGAAGGCAGTAACCCTACAACAAACAAACCTCTTTTGAGAAAGCTTTGCTTGGGAAATAACTCCACATTCGTAAGTCCATATGCATAACATAAGAAGTATAGATGAAAACTAGGAAAGATTTTTTTGGTCCAAAATAGGGGTCAGCAAACTATGACCCAATGCAGAGGCCAAATCCAGATGCCATCAATTCTTATAAATAAATGTTATTGGCACACAGCCACACCCATCCATGTCCACACTGTCTGTGGCTGCTTTCACACTCCAAGGGCAGAGCTGAGGATTTTCAGCTGAAACATGATGGTGACAAGGCCAGAAATATTTACTCTCTGGCCTTTTACAGAACAAGTTTGCCACCCCTTTCCATAGGGATATAAAAGGATGTATACGAACAAAACATAATGTGATTGTCTTTAGGTAGTGGAATTATGGGTGACTATTTCTTTTTTTTCCCCTTGTATTTACCAGCTTTTGACTTGTATGTTTATAGGAGCATGTCAGATAGGATATGCAGCAAAACAGCTATAATCTGTAAGGGCTACAGGGGCTATCAAGGAGACACGGACCAACCCTCAAAGGATTTATAGCTTAGGACCAGCAGATCCAACAGAGAGAGTAATTTTACCTTGTGGTGACCCCTGCCTTTATTATACACTCACTGCAATACATTCGCATGCTGGACAACACACCCTGCACCATGATCGGAAGCAAAAGCCCATGTAAGGACACAAAACGGCCAATGGGCCTCTTCCAAGAAATCTCTACCCTTTCCCTGCCAGAGTTCTAAATATTCCTCCCCCTTACTGAATGCCCTACCCGCCCCCCCCCCCATTAAATGAGCCTCAACAAAAGCAAATCCCACTAAAAGGGGACTGCTCTGCCTGTGGAGTAGCCCATTCTCTGTCCCACTGCTTCACTAACAAACTCCTTTTCACTCTAACTCTATGCTGATTCCTATTAGAATTTTCCCCTGTGTGAAGCCAAGAACCCACAGTGGATCTCACCCCTTTAGGTCCCCAGACCCCTGGAATGCCTGCATCACCTGTGTGTTTAAATCATAAATTTAAGGAAAAAAAAGAAACAGTCTGCCTCAATGTGAGCACCGGGGCTGAGCTGCCCGGCTCCCTGTGGTGATGGTACCTTGTTTCCAATGGCCTTCTTGGGTGGGAAGTTGTAGGCTCTCACTTGAGGGTATTTGTTCTGTAACTTGTGGTGCAAACTCCTGAATTCTGTGTACCGTCGATAGACATTCCATTCATCATCTTTTATCCGAATGTAGACCTGTTCAAAAAAAAGGAATGAGAAAGAAAATGGAGACTTCTCTTAAAACTTCACTGTAAAAGGATAGGCGTTCGGCAATGCTCCACGCCTGAAAACAGTTCTTTGAGGGCAGGGCCACACTGTGTCCCCTGCCAGCAGAAGTCCACTGCCTGGCATAGAGCAGGAACTCGGTGCTACTGAGTGAACAAGTGGGCACACGAATGACGAATCGGGCAGGCTACAGGATCAACATGCTGTATATAATTTCCCCAATTAATCTCAGCAACGCATTAGTCATGTTTTTGTCACAGACATATTGCAGCAGAGACAAGTTGCTGATGAGAATCTATTCGTTCTCTCTGGCTATGCATTTCCTCATATGTAAAATGGAGCCAACCACACCTCTTCCCAAGGTGTACGGACAGCATTCAGGTTCAGAAGCAGTGCAGCTGTGCCTGGGACCATGCAGACCTCCATACAGAGGAGGTGGAACTCAGTCTGGGAAGGAGGGAAAGATCAGACATCAGCCCAGCTGGATGGAAGGTCATGTTCAGTTGGGATAAGCACAGTGGGACATAAAACATCTTTATTTTAATCAAGTTGTAACTGCCAAGAGAACACTCTGGGGGTACAAAATGTGAGAGCTGCTTCAGCAGCTTTTCAGAGGCCCTGACACCTTCCAGGGATGCACAGCAACCACACTACAAGGGAACCAGACAAGTGGGAGCAAGAGCAATACATCGTAAAAATTGCACGAGTTAAGGACAGCATAGACAGTGAAGCCCCGATGATAAATGGCAGTGTAATTTGCAATCTGTAAATGTCAGCACATATCTTAAACCCTCTTTAACCATATAACTATATATTTCAATGTGATGATAAGCTCTGCCTCTACATGAAAACCACCCAGCACCCCCAATGCAGACATCACATATTTGAATTTTGGTTAAGCAACCATCAGGGTCTCTCACAATATTTGAACAAGACAAAGAATGTAGAACTTAGCCCTGGCTGGTGTGCCAACCTGCGAACCAAAGAGTTGCTGGTTCGATTCCCAGTCAGGGCACATGCCTGTGTTGCAGTCCAGGTCAGGTCCCCAGTAGGGGGTGCACAAGAGGCAACCACACATTAATGTTTCTCTTCCTCTCTCCCTTCCCCTCTGTCTAAAATAAATAAAATCTTTTTTAAAAAAAGAAAGGAGGACTTAAACCAAACAATTACAATTAATGAGTAGAAGTTCCCCGTGGAATTAGATGGAGAAACAGAGGCTACTGAGTTTATCAGAGGTCTCCAAGCTAAGAGAGACAATAAATATACTTGGTGACAGATATCAAGTGACCTCAACTGGCCTGAGAGATGAGTCTAATCCAATGTAATGAAATTCAGAAAGTTCAATGTCAGGATCTGCCATAAAATAAAATAAAAAAACAACAACACCATAAATATAGGATGGGGAAGTACAGCCCAGCAGTAGCCTGTGGGACAAAGATTTCTAGGTCTCAGTAAGTTCAAGCTCAGTGAATGATGTGGGAGAGTCACTAAAAAAGTCCATGTAATCTTCAGACCTCACTTAAAGGTAAATAGTAAGTTCTAAAATAAAGGAGTTGAAAGTCTTGTTCTATTCTAAACCAACCAAACCAACTTAGTTAGGCTTTGGTTACCACCTGCTAAAAGGTAAGTAAAATATGTTCTGCAAGGCCCACAATCACTTGCCACTCGGAGTGTGGCCTGTGGACCAGGAGCATCAGCACCACATTTGAAGATGTTAATGCAGCATCTCAGGCTCCACCCCAGTTGCACTGACTCAGATTCTGCACTTTAATAAGAATCCCAAGTGGTCCCTACACACTTTCAAGTTTGAGAGGCACTGGGTTCCATGAGATGGTTTACAGCCAGATTATCAGACGAAAGATAAAAGACACTGGAGGATGATAATCTGAGCCTCAGGATGGAGGGAGTAAAGATCTCCAAATTCCCAGAATGAAAACAAGAAAGACCAAGATGATGCGTTCCAGTGATTCCAGGAAGCAGACTTCGAGCAGGTAGAAAATAGAGAAAAACAAATTTCATCAGAGAAGGACTTTCTAGCAGCCCAGGCTGCCAAGGAGGAAAAGGTATGTTTCAAAAGGTTTCTTGGCACTGGGTGTCCAAGCAATGCTACAAAGGCTGATTGGACTGTGATCACAGTCATGTAAGTACTTGATTTATAACAGGGAAGTATGCATTAGATCTCCAAAGCATCTGGAATGGCCTGGTCGTTATGCAGAACTGGGCCTTCAGGCTCACATCTCCATAGACTGGGACGTCATTAATCGGTGAGCAAACACACCTAGCAGAGGTTAAGGGAATGTACTTCAGTATGGCCCATTTAGTCATTGTTTTAATGCTTCTGAGCAATAGCAAGTGCCCACCCAGTATCCACTTCCCCCCCAATATTTCTGGGGTAGCAATGTATTCAGAAAAAAATTAAACTAGATTTTTCTGTCTCCACAGAGAAGAGTGACTAATGAGATGTAAACAAAAATTATTGTTTGGGGCTTCTAAGAAAGTTCTCAGGGGAATTCTGACTCAGCCAATAAGTGCGTTTCCCCCTCCATCCACTCTTCCCTGTCCTTTTCTTTCTTTCTCAAAAAGATGTGATGACTGACACTCCAGACGTCATTTTCTGATCGTGAGGTTGTCATGAGAATGGAAGCAAAAAGACAGAAGGACCTTGGGTCTCTGATGACATTTTGAAGTCACCATAACAATTACTAGAGAAATATTTATATCAATTAAAGGGAAATATTTATCTCTAATTTGTTCCAACTAATGTTTTAAGAGACTTTGTACTAGTGGACAAATGTAATTCTAATCTGATATATCCTGAATGGCTATATCTGCTAGTAATTTCTTATATAAGTCCAAATATCCACCTCCCCTCACAGAGTGGCAACTTCAATCACTTGTCTCGTCATCATACACAATACTGACTATCTAGCTCAGGAAAGGCAAACAGTAACCTGTAGGCCAAGTTACCTATTGCCATTTTTTACCTAGTTTATAGCTACTTTTGCAATACAATGGCAGTGCTGAGTCATAAAAACAGGGATCATATAGCCTACAAACCTAAAAATACTTACTTTCTCTCTCTCCATATATTTTGCTGACCCCTGACCTAGATATTTGGAAAATCTTCATTATTGGTTTTTTTCCCGCCAATATATCCAAGATCCAGTGTGGACAAGGGCAGTGTTTTCCAAATACTACCAGCCCCTAGAAGGGCTGTATTAACCATCTGAGACACAGGAATCCGTAGTGTTCCAAAGCTTCCCCGGTGATTCTAAGGAGAGGCTGCTGTGGTCTGAGGCTTTGTGCACAGCCCCCTGCCCCTGCCAATTCATATGCTGAAATCCCCAAAGTGAAGGTATTAGGAGGTAGGGTCTGGCGAGTGGTTGTGTCATGAGGGTGGTGGTCTCATGAACAGTATCAGTGCCCCTATAAAAGAGAAGGAGAGAACTCCCTTGCCACTTCGGCCATGTGAGAGGACAGCTGTCCATGAACCGGGAAGCAGGTGTTTACCAGACACCTTATCTGTAGCACCTTGATCTTGGACTTCCCACTCTCTAGAAGTGTGAGAAATAAATGTGTGTTGTTTAAGCCACCTGTCTATAGCAGTTTGTCATGTCAACCAAATGGACTAAGACAGCACGGATTTAGGTGTGTCAGACAGCCAGGCTATTGCTCTTCCTCTCTGGCTATGCCATTTGTAAAACAGAGCTGACTAAAAGCACCTCCTCCTAAGGTACGGACAGTATTCAGGTTCAGAAGCTGCGCCACTCTGCCTGGGACCAAGTAGCCCACTATACGGAGGAGATGGATCTCAGTCTGGGGAGGGAGGGAGGGATCGGACATCAGTCCAGCTGGATGGAAGGTCATGTCTAGATGTGATGAGCACAACGATGCAAAACATCTTTATTTTAATCAAGTTGTAACTGCCAAGAGAACACTCTGGGGGTACAAAATGTGAGAGCTGCTTCATCATTTGAAGCAGCTCTTCACAGGCCCTGACATCTTTCAGGGATGCACAGCAACCACATTGCAAGGGAATCAGAGAAGTGGGAGGGAGCGCAAATACATTTTTAGAAATGATATCAGTTAAGAACAGCCTAGAGAATAAAATCTCCATTGATAAATGGCTGTTGCAACCTGCAGCCAGTTAATGTCAATACATACCTTAAAAACCTTGAAAATAATGGTAAAAATAATGACCTGTAATGTGTGTGATACATTCCAATTCTACATTTTCCATAACACACTTTGTGAAGGCACTGAATCCCCTCCCGCTTCGATGGTCCCTGTCGGCCCTCCACGGGGGCACGTCCTCTTCTGCCCGCCCTTAAAGGCAGAGGTCTTACCTGGGGCCCTCCTCTCCCCTACACAAGCATCCACTCTTGGGTCTGCACATTTCATTTCATATCAGTGACCCTCACATCTATATAGCTCTAGTCTGGACCGATAACACAATCGCCAGACACGGACCTGATAAAACTCACTGTGTCAACATCTGAACCCAATATCTGCACTGCAAACCTGCCCCTCGTTCTCCTGGAACCTCACTCTCTCCGTGTGAATGGACCAGTGAGTTGCCTGAGCTAAAAATCTAGGCATCAAGTTTGACCACTCTTGTTTTGACCCTCTCCCCCACATCCAAGTACTAAATAATAGGGCCTGTCACCCCACCCCCAAACCCACCTCCAGAGCTATGTACATCTCTGCCGGGACTACGACGGGCCTCTTGCTGTCCTTCTAGCCAGCTGCATCGCCCCAGTCAATCATGCTCGTCTCCCTTGTTCAAATTGCTTTACTGATTACCCATGAAGGATGCCAAACAGGCTCTGGAGAGGGGACGTAGGCAGCCTCCTGGGCTCGGAAGGCTCCCGTGGCACCGCAGCCACCTTCCTCCAGGCTCCATCCCTCGCCTTGGTAAATCAGCAGAGTGCCCATTTTCCTGCATTTTCTGTAAAAGTCTTCAATTTCTT